AGACTGTGATTTCAAAAAAGAACAAATGGGGGGGAATGAAGTACAACAGCAGGTTTGTGCAGTACTGATAACAGTTGTATCGCACATCCCGGAGGGGTGAGCCATTCGGGAAGCCGGGTTCAGGGTCTAGCCCCCCTGTGCCCGTGGAAATGCCCTGGGGGAGTTTGGGCCACTCCCTCTCTCCCTCCCAGGGCTGTTGTGGTAGGTTTGAAATAGGAGGAAGAACTTGTGGGTGCTGCCTTCAGCTCCTGGAGGAAAGATGGTGCGTAAATCTAATCAATACATAAATAAAGCAAGCGAGCGCAGTTGAAGACAACTATGTCTGTGCTCTTCCTGTGGCACACGGCGACGTCTCCCCCTGTTGCTAGAACTGTCCTTCTGATGGGGTCATCTTTCCACTCAGTTGCTGTTAGTTTCCTTTTTCCTCACTCCGAAATTAAGTTCATCTCATTTCTGTTCATCTGGAGAGTTTTATTTTCAGGAATTTATACTATGTGTGTTGGTATCTTTGTTTTGTTTCGCATAATGGATTGAAGTGGAAAATTAAAGAGGTTAAACCAAAGAATTTTGCCTCTGTTCTTAAAGTTCACATATGCGAATAGAAATTGTTCTCAGTAGATCCTATGAAAAACAAAACAAAGCTATAAGGACCATTTTCTTCACTGCACAAAGGTTCATAGTGGCTAATGAGGGGAGCAATTCATCACCCCCCGAAGCCCATGCCAAAAGTCACTGGTTTTAATGGAGCTGTCTCTCCAACAGTTTTATTAATGATTGGAGGAAGAAATGGAAGGAATGCTAATCCAGCCGCAGATGACACAAAATTGGATGGGATAGCTAAATACCCTAGATAATAAAAATAACATTATCTTAATGATTTATAGAAATGGGCTGACAAGGACAGAATAAAATTTAATAGAGAAATGCAGGGTTTTTCACTTTGGAAACAGGAAGCAAATGTACAGGCATTGCTTGGTAATAGTACTTGTGAAAAAGATCTCAGTTTGTTGCAAACTGAGTATAAACCAGGAGCGGAACATAGCTGCAAAAAAAGGAAAAAAAAAGGAAAATGCATCAACAGAAATGTCCAAATTATGGGAAGGCTAGTTTCATTTTATTTGGTGTTGCTTAAACAAAGGATTTGCATATTATGCCCAATTCTGGGCACTGCAGTTTAAGGACGCAGACAACCTGGAACAGATTTGGAGAAAGCAACCAAGATGATCAAGATACTAATTTGTATGAAAGAAATAAAAAGTGCTTGGTGTGGTTAGCCTTGGGAAAAGATGTCTGGCAGGAGAGGCTCTTCAAATTCCTGAAAAAAAAATGTGGAAGAAGATGAAGACCTATCCTTTCTTGTTTCAGAGGGCAGACACAGAATTTGGGGTTCAGGTCACCCAACCGCGGATTCTGATTGCCTGTTAGAAAAAGCTTCTTAACAGCACGGGCAGTTCGACAACAGAACCTGGTATCCAGAGAGGAGGTGGCCTCCTTAAAGCAGAAGTGGGGCAACCCTCTTTCAAGCTTACCTGAATTTGGGTTCCTGGGCTGCGTAGGGCTTTGAAGCTGGTGGCCTAAACAGCGCTTTCTAACACTATGGAACAAGAATGGGGTAACGTTCTTCAAGATCCACCCCCCCCTCCAAATTTTCAGATATAATGAGGAAAACACTTCAGTGGTGATCCACCAGTGGCATTTAATGCCACCAAGTCCCAATGGTAGATTTTGAAAAAGGAACAGGGGCTTCTTTTCCACATCTGGTGAAAACTATTAGACCAGTGGGCAAAAGGTATTTCAGGAAGCAAGTAAAATTGTCCCTCCTTCCACTGCTGTGACCCCTGCTATAGCCTTATTTTCTGTATGGTCATAATGCCAATTTTGCTGCCAAGGACTGACTTAACTTTGGCTAGCCTTGAAATCGCCAGATTCGGAAAGATCTACCATGACACAAGAGCTGGGGCTTGGCATTATTGGAAAAATTAATTCAACTAGCAAATAGGAGAAGGTTTTAAAAAAAAAAATCTGAAAACTTTTGTGAAACATTGTGTTGTTTCTCAGATTAGAGTAAAAGAAATATAGACAGAGTGAGTTTGTGGTACTCACAGCTTGCTATGGAGGAGTCTTTATGGCTAAGAAGTTTTGCCCAGAGTTTGAGGAGTAGCAAATGGAGTCTCGCTCCCAACTGTGCAAGGAAATAAGACAGCTTAAACATCTATCAATGTGCAGAATCCCACATGCAAAGGAGTACTTAGTCTGGCCAAACTGGAAAAGGGAACAGTTCATCCTGAATCATGGATAAGACCTGACCAGTCCATGTAATGAAAAGAAGGTGTTAGCGCCCATGTTTTATACACTAGATCCATCCCTGACTGTCATGGTAGGCCTCTCTTATGAAGAATTCAGGAAGGCATAATTCATTTGTATTTATTTATTCATACAACTTCCATCATGCCTTTCTGCCCATAGCATTGCAGGAACACCTAATGTATATTACAGAGGTTAGTTGAGCACATTCACTCTTTATTTTAATCATTAATTCATATAACTGCTTTTTGTGCCAAGCAATCCACTTTGGCAGTTCCTCTAATGAACCAAGGTCACCCTTGTAACAGACCTGAGAAACAATGGAAAGGAACAGAACTGGGAACCTACACAGCTGTTTCTACTCTTCTTTATTGGAAGGAAAAGTCCCTCCTATGCCTGGTCTAGAGGCAAGGTGTGGATTGACAGACTCTTCAGTTCTTGCCAGCTGCTCCCTGCCCAGACCCTCCTTCAAAGCTTTCCAGCATCATGATCTCCTGATGGTTGAAGGAACCAGCTATGTAAGTCAGGAGGGAGACAAGAGAAGAAATTCAGCAATGGGTGTCCTCTAAGTTTGGAGTCTTCCTGCAGAAGGAAATCCAGGGTACATTTCTGTAGCCCCTGGAATACTGTACTGTTCTGGGGCCACAGGATCATACCGTTGCGCTAATAATTCTTGTGAAAATGTATTGCTTATATTATGCATCTTGATTTCATGAATGCAAACTTTTACAAGCTGAATCTAGGCTAGTCTAGTGATGCCATGCGCCCATGAAATCAGTGGGGCAGGTGAACCATGACTTCCTTCTCCCATAGATGTAGGAGAATGGGAGTAGAGGTATCTGACTTCATCGGGGCAAGTCTTTATATTTTGAAATTGAGTACTGCACTTTTTAAAGTGTACATTTCACAGTCCAAATTAGGAGTTTGTTAAATAGGTGTTGGCAAAGATATGTGTCATACAGGTATACCCTCTGGAAGACCCCTATTCTCACAGGCAACCCAGGCTTCTGGTATAAGGTGTGAAATGTACAGTTGGGCTGCGGGGAGAAAGGAGGAGTTGTTAAGGGCCAGTTGGCTCCTTGGGCAGAAGAACCAACCACTACTCTTTCCAGAGCTGATTTCCCTCCCAGCAGGATCCCCTCACGGGGTTTCCCAAGAGCTCTCTTCTTCTTGGCTGGGATTGCGGCCAGGCAGATTCTGACCACCCGATGGTAGAACAAAGGCCAGGCATTAATGGCAGAATGTTTAGCAGGGTCTCCATGGGGCCATGCAAACAAGAACGATATTTGCATATTATGGGTGAACCTCACAATTTAATGTTCACAGTTTCTCTCTGTGTGTTTGCTTTCCTGCCATGGAGAGGCACTGCCCTGGGTTAATCAAGCTAGAACTTGACAAGCTGACATTGACAATATTTATCTAAGCAGCACAGCTTTAGCCTGCAGGAGGTGGTGAGGGGGAGCATTAAATTGTTTCTTTATAGAAACTTTTATGCTAGATATGAGAAACGTGTCAGGGAGAAGGAACACACAGAGATAACGGTTCATAATAAAGATGGAGCAAGACAAAGAGTAGCCTGATTTGGCATCAAGGTTTTCTTAACAACGATCTAAAAAGAGAGGGTGTGGAACTTCACTCCCCTTGCATATTCCAGTGACTGTTCTCTGACTTGTGATATGTGTTGTTCCAGAAAAGGTCCAGTGTGAAAATTTGTTTTTTAAAAAAGTTCCTAGGAGCCTCTGCTTAAGACACTGGAGGTCCCTCTGAGGACACCAAGTTGGGGCTTGTCAGTCCGACCTGATCCCTCCACCCACAGATGGACAGGAGCTAATGACTCATCACAGACACTGGGCAGCATTCAGGCCACAAGTGATGAACGCCTTTTGGGGGCAAGGAGTTGAGAGGGTCAAGTCTGGGCAGCCGCCATCCTTCTTGGAGAATGCCAGTTTTCTTGACCCTTTGCAATCCAGGGTCAGGGTCAGGTGTGCATAAGATCAGGTTTCCCTGGTGTGCTAGATCCCTTGCAGGAGAATACCGTCCTGCTGACTCTGCTACTGGCACTTGGTTTAAGGTGCTCCCAGGTTCTGGGTCATGGGAGGCCCGAGTGATCAAGCTCTTGCCACCTTCAGTGGAAATAACTGCCATAAAGCTCCTGGAGAGTGTTAGCCTGGGCCCTGCAGTTCAGATGTTGGCCGCCTGATATTCCAACGGTGATGATGCTTAGCCTGAAACTTGACTTAAAACTAGGATAAGCGTCCTTGTTTTAGACGGATGCTCACTTGTGTAATTACGGCCCCTTTCTCCCAAGCTGCAGAGAAGCAATATCTTTTCTCATCTGTATATCAGTATTTCGCTTGAATCAGATGCAACACAAAATTGTCACAAGTCTCTCTAAAACTGTGAGGAAGTATTCCCCCTCCCACAATTTAACGGGGAGATAGGAATTAGTCTTGAGTCACTACGACTAAGGCAAAGCCAGCGCAACAGCCCGTGTTTCCCCAGTACGGAACATCCACAGGCAGGCGGCCCATTTTCTTCAGCCCCAAAACCGTTTCAGGGCTGGGGGCGCAGAGGCCTCTTCCCCATTAGGAGCACAGCAGCTTCAGGGTGCCCTTTCCCCACCCCTGCAGATCAGACGCCCAGGGAACAGGTTGCATGCCAGGTGACACTCTTTTCTTTTCTTCCTTAATTTAAAGGGTGAACCCGGGACCAGCATCCTTCCGGCATCCTTTCAAGGTGGTGCTGTGGAAAGCAGATCAAGGCTGTGGAAGTTTGTAGGAAGAGGTGAGGAGGCATCCTGGTTGGGGGGAGAAAAACGAAACCCGAAGCCGGAGGAGGAGGTAGTCATGCTAGACCAGGAGATCCAAGGAGGTGACAAGGAGAGGGTCACGAGGACAAGAGAGGAGAGGCCCACAGCAGAAGAGACCAGAACTGATTTTGGAAGCTAACTGAAGGGGAGGGTATTTGAGGCTATTTAGAAGGGGAATTGGCTGGTACGAACATTCAATTTCTAGGCATTATTTCAGAACTGGCATATGTTTTGGCAAGGAGTAAGCGTGGAGCCAAGTCCTGGAAGCCCCATCAGTCTTCCTCTCCAGGTTTGGCTCCTCCCTGCCAGACTGAAGAGGTGGGTGTTTGTGTGCACGTTTTCCTCTGAACACACACACACACGCTACACTGCGTTGATCTGGGGATAAAAAGGAAGCACGACGAGGGAAAACCTTTCGTCCCTTTTCTCCCCTTCAAAACTGGCTAATGCGCTAATGTGTTTAGAAGAGAATACCTAAGATAAAAATAACATACATAATGGGACAGGAGTTTTGCCAGCAAACACGCGATTGGAGCACAATACAGAACCAGTTAGGTTTTCCATGAACTCATGTTCTTATATGGACGATCTCAAAATGTTCTGGTTCCCATCAGGACAACCATCTTTCACCCGTGGGAAATGCTGTGGTCTTGAGGGCTTTTTGTCTCAGGCATCTCAATCCATGGCAAATGCTAATTTTCTCACTTGAGGCTTAAAAGAAAGAGTAAAAACTGTCCGCTGCTACTAGGTTATCGTGTTCATCACACTTAGCTATTTGTAGAGGGCAATGGATTGTAGGAGGGGAACAGAACCCAGAAATTGGGTGATGTGGCAAGAATGTTCGTGCATTGGACAGCAGATGGGGGAGTGCGTGGCTGAACACTTTCCCGTGGGAAAAAAGAAATTCCTGCATCTTCAAAACAAACCACACAGTCTTCAGGCTGGGAGTTTTTCATAGGAAGGAACATTCATTTTCTCTGCCTGTGGTTGGACTAATACGGTTGAGAATTGACAGCAAGAACTAACCCAACGCTACACTCAGACTTACCTGTCTACAGATCTGCCAGATATCCGGTCATTAGATGCCTTCCGTTGGCCAAGGACTTCCGAAACAGTTAACAGCAAAAATGTTCATTAGAGGACGACAACCAGAATTATTTTGGACACGCAACTAATTCCAGTCAGCAGGCAGTCCTATTTTTAGCCACTTTGTGAAAGCTGGGTCACCATTTACAAACAAGTTAGTCCAATTTGATTACTACTACTTTAGTTCTAGAGACATGCTGTTAAATGTTCCTGGCAGGTTTTTCCCCACACATTTTTATTTTTATAGAACAGTAAGATATTTTATGTCAAATTAAATATATTTCTTAAATTGTCATTTATTTGTAAAGAAACTCTAGTCTAGACATAAATAGAGTGCATTTTTTTTTTACCATAAAAGGCAGTCTGCACAGTGATATAATTGTCTTCTTCTCTTCTTCTTGTGTTCGCATTATGCAAAGCAAGGTTTCCTCTTTCAACGCTAGCTAACGCTTCATTGTGTGATGTGTACTTTGGTGGGGAGAATTCACTCATTCAGATCAGCAATCGTGCACATCTGCTAGGATGAGACGCTAGCAACATTGCCCAAACTATTCCATGTCTCTTTTCCATAACATCTAGGGCAAGGGTGGGCAAACCCCAGTCTTGCACAATCTATGGATTTATTTATTTTTTTGCTAGCATATCCAAGTCAACCAATGTGTTTTAAATTTGCACAGTAAGAACACTTGTGGAGTGGCTACAAGCGATTTGAGTAATGTGTGACTGATGTTTTCTGAAATCATTTCAAATGATCTGGATTCATCTGAGTTAAGTCATCTAGAGTGCGTAGTTCAGATTAGTATGTCAGGACCACCTGAGAATCACCCCATAGTCTACATATCTTTGTAAGATTCCTACAACTAGCCCATTTGGCTGTTCCACCAGAAATTGCCAAAGTGATTGAGGACTGTGGTTTATTTTCTGCCTATGTTTGATCTATTGCTAATCATATAAGTGTGTATATAATTGCATCCTTAAATGGTATAATTAAGTTATATGTTTTCCCATTCTGCTTTAGTGCCTTCATTGGTGGGAATGGAGTAGGGGTGGGGGAAGTCACAGGCTAATGAGATCAAGTCATGCATTGAGTATTCCTAAATAGCAAAGAGAATGCCAAAGAAGATATTGGGGATGGTGGTTTTCAGTGGTGGACATGTGTGTCTTGTGTCATCTAGTGTCAGTTGCAGTTTCCCAATAAATTCACACATAATTGCTTTCCAATTTTTCCCCACCAACTTCCCTTCCAGATCGTAAGGTTTGAGTAGAAATTAAGCATGAATAATCTAAATAGCAGTAGATCAAGATCATGTGAAAAGTAATTTTTTTAGTGCAATAGTCACCATGACATGTTGCCAGCTGTTGCAGGATATGGTTGCCAAACTTCAGTGATGCATTGAAAAAGTTCCATTTTCAATCCTAAACATTCCTAAAGGAATCTGGAAATGAATTTCTGGAAAACTGCTGTCATACAGAAACAAGATTGGGCTAGTAAACCAGTGGTTTTAGTAAATATGACGGATGGTTATAGATAATTGATGCTTTTCTTAAGGAGCACACACAGAGACCTATATATGGAGGCATACCTCAGAGGAAGAACTCATGAGTATGTGCAGCAAACTCCATATTCAGTTCCTCAAGCTAAAAGGATCTGAGATGCCGTAAAAGACTGTTTATATAAAGCTTCAGCTTATATGCCACTCCATTCCAAGACACTGTGAGCTGCTTACAGATTTTCAGTATAAAAGGATTAAAGACAAAAAAATCAGTCAATACAATCAGTTGACTTGATGGGCCACCATTCAAGAACAGCTTGATCTTTATTCATCCTTTCTGAAGAGTCACATTTTTCTGGCTCTCCAACTATTTAGCAAGGAAAGGGTGTTCCAGATAGCCAGGGATGAGGTCCATCATCAAAAAATCTCAAGACCCAGATCCCTGATGGCATTCCCTTGGTGGTGAGAACCTCAGTAAGTCCACTTTCCCAGATCTTATTAGAGGCACAGAGAAAGCCGTTGTGGAGATATCTAGGCCCTGAGTCTTGCAGTCCTTTCAAGGTGACAGCCAGCACCTTGGATTACACTCAGGGAATAATTGGCAGCCAGTGCAACCCCTGTAGAGCTGGTGGTACATGGATGAACCCTGGTGCATCCATAAGTACTTGGCCCACTGCATGCGGCATCTGCTGAAACTTCTGGCTGGTCTTTAAGGACAGCTGTCTGTAGAGTGCATTGCAATAATTCAGCCACAAGGGCATGAGTGACCATGAAAAAGCCACCTGATTCAGCAAAGACCATAACCAGACCACAGGATGCAATTATGCAAGGCTTCTTAGCCATGGCCTCCATCTGCTGTTCAAGCAGGAGCCATAAGTCTAGGAGGAGCCCCCAGATTAGAAGCCAGCTCTGTCCACAAAAACATTACCCCATCCGGAGGTGAATAGTCGGGCAGACCAAGAGAATGCTATAGATACCTTGATTTCAATAAGGTGCTTTACTGGACCACTTGTGATATTTGGGGTTGCTAAGACTGACGCTGTATTAGATGACACATGATGAAATCATGATATTCTTTTGGAAAAGATGGATAAATGCGGTCTGAAGGCTACTCTAGGTTGGTGAAACTGCAGCTGGTTAAGCAACTCAGTCAAAGGGTGCTCATGAATACAGCATCCAGGAGGATAGTATCGAGTAGGGTCCCCTGGGGCTCCATTTTTGGCTCAATGCTATTCCAAATTGTTATAAATGACCCACAGGATGGAATGTAAGGGGTGCTCGTTAAATGCACAGATAACATGGACAAAAACCACAGTATGAAATGACCTTATCAGGCTTGAATATTGGGTGAACTCCAAAGGAACTTGCTCAACTGTGAGAATAGTAAAACAGCTTCGCATGACCATATAAATTCCTTCCTGTGTGTATTATGGTTCTTGCTCTGGGAAATACGTGTTTTAAAAGCTTGGTGACGCTGGATGGATTCGAGCCATAAGTGTATGTGATTAAGTTGCCTCTCAATTCTTTTTCAGACCTTACATGTGAACAAGGTGATGTCCATCTTGTTTTATGTGATCTTTCTGCCTTTTCTCTGTGGCATCCAGTCTACCAGCATGGATCAAGGGAGTTTATCAGAAGATTCCATGAATTCTTTTATTAGAACACTTATTCAAGCTGGCATTTGGAAAAATAAGGTCCCTAAGCAGACGGCCAGAACGAAGGACGGCATGCAGACCACGGTGAAGAAAACGGAGGCCGAACCAGACGCGGTGGCAAGCAAAGATGCCAGACTGGGGTCCCAGCCCGTCGTTTCGGTGGACGCAGAACTCCTGAGGCAGCAGAGGCGCTTCAGCTCCCCCCGGGTGCTCTTGAGCGAAAGTGCCCCTCTGGAGCCCCCTCCCTTGTATCTGATGGAGGAGCCCGTGGTGCTGAACCAGACGTCTCGCCGGAAGAGGTTTGCCGAGGGGAAGAGCCACCGTGGGGAGTACTCCGTGTGCGACAGCGAGAGCCGATGGGTCACGGACAAATCCTCCGCTGTCGACATCCGGGGGCACCAGGTGACTGTCCTGGGAGAAATCAGAATGGGCTCCTCCCCAGTCAAACAATACTTTTATGAAACAAGGTGTAAGCAAGCCAAACCGGCCAAGAGTGGTTGTCGTGGTATCGATGATAAGCACTGGAATTCCCAGTGCAAAACCTCACAAACCTTTGTACGCGCATTGACTTCAGAAAACAATAAACTTGTAGCCTGGCGATGGATCAGAATAGACACTTCTTGTGTGTGCGCCTTGTCCAGGAAAATCGGACGAACATAGGTCTGTGGCTCTGCCATATAAGTTATTATGACTAAATTATATGATATGCATGTAGCATATAAAGGTTTCTATTGTTTATATATTATAAGTGGTCCTTATTTATTAAATTCCAGCCAACTACTCTCTCTCTCTTGATAAAGAACAGTAAAGAATGGATGTATACCTGTGGCTACATCATTTCTCATTTCTGTCTGTGACTTCAGCTCCTCCAAAGCTTTCCATAAACTGCTTGCAAAACCTTTATGAAATCTCAGTAGTTTTCACTCAGGGTTACCATTAAGTCAACCGGTCAAAAGAGGAGAGGCTTTGGGGTTTCAGCCTCTTCAGACGAAGCCCAACAACCACCTGAATAGTCCGTGAACTGTGAAATAAGTAAAAAACTTACCCCCTGTCTGTTGTGTTTTACCCCGATGCTCACCCACACGGCCTCCCGTTAGTGCTCCGAAACTAGGGCAAATAGTCCTACAATGTTAAGTTTAGATTTTATTTTTTTGTGAACACATCTGTGACTGCTGTTAACACTGCCAACGCCTTTTTTGAAGCCAAGAAAAAAAATAAACAATTTGTAACAGAACCTTTGGAGTGCCAAAAAACACTCTAAAGGGATTATTAACATAATGTTTTAAAGCTAGATTTCCTCAAAACAAGCCCTTTTTATTGTGAGCACTTTTCCTCCCTCCCTTTTTCAGTATTTTATCTTCCTGAACTTTCCATTGATTTCTTTTTGGATATAATATAAGGGAAATTTTGTTCCTATGTTAATTGCTTTAGCATTCAGATACAGGAAAATGCTCATTCCTGGAATATACCTCAAACCAAGACCAATTCAAAATGTTTAAAGACTTTTGAAGAACTCTTAATGAAAGAAGATATCAAGAATATTGATGCCCCCCTCCCCCTCCCCACTTTGTGGTGACCGTAGAACAAGAAGATCATGTAAGCTAAGCCTTCCAAAATTCAATTTTAGTCCTGCACAGCTTAGTGTACGTGACAGGCACTTCCAATGCATATTTGCATCAACGTTCACTGATTCTGGTTGCAGGTCTCTCTTCTTAGGACAAGCGTAAAGTTGAACATTAACTTATAAAAAAGGTCCCTGTGTTGACCCTTATCTCCCTGCATTAATCAATTTCTTGATGCTTTTTCTTGGAAACTTGATTTTATAGTAATACTGTGGTAAATATGACATAGCTATAACCTGTGGTAGGCTTCAGGTTCTGTCTCCATGCATATGACCACACGAACATGGAGAAATATGTAGGAAAAGAAAAAAGGAGAGGTAGTTGTATATTTTCTTGGGAGGGGACTGCATAAAGGGATTGCAAGACAAACATTGCTTGCATCTGATCCACAAAGATAGTTTGCCATAGAGAAAAAAATCCACAGTCTAATAATACTTGATTAGAATTAATCAAAAACTCGCAAAGCGAATTATTTTCAGGTTCTTCGAAATGCTTCATTAGAGTAGATTTCAAAGTGGAGGGCAAGGAGGAGAGAGAAATGGCTTGATGCTCAAACCAGGACATTTCAATGGATTATCAAGTTTAAGATTATGTGTGGGAGGAGACAGGCCACCATCCATCCTTGAGAAGAACTCCATTGGGTGGTTCTGGGCAGATGGAAGAAGCCAGATAATTAAGGCTGCTGGGGAAGAGTTGGAAGCCAGACTGTCCAAGATTATACCTTCTCTGAAATGCCACTTATTCTCTGTGTGTGGCTCAGATCAAGTTATAGGAAGAAGGAATTTAAATGGTTAAGCACTGGGAACTTTGAAGGTTGGAGAGAGCTATCTAAAGGGATTAGGGACATGAACCACCATGGGGACACTTGATACCAAAAAAGTGCAGAAAAATACTGAACTTTCATTTAATTTATTAAATTTATATGCTGCCTGACTCACAGCGACTGGCAAGTTTACAGACTCTAGCAGGATCATGAGAAGAAAGAGGGGAAAAGAAGTAATGACGCTTCACCTAAGCAAGTGATGGCATTAGCGTGGAGAAAAATGTTCTTCAGCCACCCACTCAGAGGCTGAGGAGCACAATTGTGCTGGGGGGTTGTGTTCCCCATAGCTGATCAGTGATTTTAGCATCCACGCTGGGTTGCACTAGAGGCACCACAAGCTGTGTGGGTCAGGAGGTCACAGGTTTCTTCCCCTAGCCCTAAAGCATGACAATCCAAGAGGCAGAAGGCAACAGAAGATGGAGACGCTGCTCTACAGGCATTGGGAGAAGGCCATCACATCTAGAGGGCTCAGAGAACCAGAGTTCTTGGCTTGAACACAAGAGAGGTGCCGAGCAGGACCCGGGTGTCAGGAGAGAACCTGAGGGAACTTTTTGGAAAGACAATAAAAGGCCCACCTGGCATCGGTGATTCTGAAGAGCACCACAGACATGGAAATAAATAAATAAATAGGAAGCGCAAAAGGAGAGAATCACTGTAAGTGCCAATACCAATATTGAGGGTGTGTGCTATCATTCCCCAATCGATGGGGAATGAAACCAGGAAGACATTCAAACAGGAAACATTGTAGTACGGAGCAGCTTCAGTTGCCCCAAAACATGTCTCAATCATCCCAAAGGGGTGGAACGCCCAGATGCTCTCCGTGAGTGATCTAGAATAGTGGATCATTGAGGTACCATTAGATGCAATGCAAACAGACAGACATGTTTAGGAAATACTGTTTCCTAAACTTAGAGGTACATTGGTGAACCAGGAGAAAGAAGTGTTCACAATGGTATGAGAAAAAAAAAAATTTTTTTTTTTAGTTTTTTTGTCCTGCCTTTATTATTTTTTATGAATAACTCAAGGCGGCAAACATACTTAATACTCCTTCCTCTTCCTATTACACAAAAATTCAACAAGGTTGTATACTGAAGGCCCCAAAAGGTACCATCAAACCCAGGAGTTCACCATACTTCATCAAGGAAGTGTGGAAACGTTGCCACGTTTGGAGAATAAAAAGGCGTACACGTGTACATGCACACACACAAAAGATAACGGATGCAGCTGAGGAATCTAGAGAATCCTGAGAAGATATCCTTTATTCTGGCTCCTATTTTTAATAATTCTATTATTTCAGTAACATTTGTATATTTTTATTCTTTGAAATTTGAACTTGAGCACATCACAAAAAAAGATGAGCTGGACTCTTGGACAATAAACTTGTTAAGGATTAAGTACTGAAGAAGGATTAAGAGAAACTAGATAAATACTTCAACTATCTTCGCTAAGAAGATACAAGACAGATAACTGATTTTTTAGGAAGGGAGTTTAGAGAAGTGAAGAATATAGTGATGACAAGAGAACACGTTCAAGACTTTACTGATAAATAAAAACAAAGTAATGGGTCTAGGTGCCATCAATCCAAATTATTTTTTAAAAATCCATATATGAAATGGACAATTTACTCTCCAAGACTGGTAACATCAATAGGTGATATTTAATACAGAAGACCTGAAAAGTGAAAATTTAAATGCCATTAAGGAAAAAACAAAGAGATTGGAGCGAGGCAGAACGGAGGAAACTACCTAACGTAGCTGGACGTGATTTCTGGGTAAGTGGGCAGGAGATACGCTCCAATTGTGTCCTCTTAAGAGTAAAGAGGTCTTCTGGAAAGGGGCTGGAGACCTGCCCCATTGCCGAACCCTGAAGAGTTCTGCAGGTGAGATCATGCTCTGGATCGGGATGAATGACCTGCTTGTTAATGACATTCACCCAGAGGAAGGAGGGAAGGAGGGAGAGAAAGAGGGGAAGTAGCCTTTGTGGCAATGGCCCTTGTCGTTTCTCGTTCCTTAAAAGAGGGAGATGAGTTTGTTCATTCATTCTGAAACAGCCTGGCAAATTCTATGTGAACCTAGCTCCACGGGGCAACAAAACTGCACCTGTGCTCTTAAAGGGCGCAACCAGGACTGGCTGCAGGAGTTAATTCTTGGTTGCTGCTGCTGGGTTTACAAGATGGGAAGGAGTGGTCCATGCTCCCTCTGCCTCTTAGGACAGCCCCTGTCCCCCGTCATTGGACACACACAAACTGCCCTTTCCGTTTGCAGCCCTTCAGCGGGGGAGGGGTGGGGGTGGCCATAAGGTGGGGAAGGAAGAAAGTTCTGTAACCCTGGTTGACAGAGGGACCCAACAAGACCTTTTCAGGGTAAAGATGCAGGGCGCGTGAGCTGCCTTTCCACCGGAGATGGGGTCCTTATTTCAAGTGCAAGTCCATATGCGCCTTCTCAGAAGGAAGGAGCCCTCCCAGGGCATTGTCTCCGGGTTAAAGCCTTTGGTGTGAATTCCTCACACATATGTCCAAAGGACACTCCTATGCAGAAGGCTGTGAAAGTAGCCTTCTCCCACTTGGGTAAGGTTTTGGGTTTCTTTTGGGGGAAAAAAGTTTCCAGAGAACCTTTTTAGAGGCAGCATAGACGCTTGCAAGAGAAAGAAAAGGAAATGCTGAGTTAAAGGAGTGAATTATTTATCTCAGTGGGCTCCCCTACGTAGGTCTACATTCAGCACTGCCCAAAGGGGAAGAATAGATGAAATCTCAAAAATCCCAAAGAATATGATTTAAAAAATCCCCCAAAATATGCTAAGAAGTTTTCCCCAGCTTTAAAAAAAATCACCTTCTTGAAAATTCAAATGAGTCAGTTGTTCCAAGTGTTTTCTATATATAGAGTTTTTTTCTAGTTATGATAAGAGTTAAAGAATCATTTTATGTTTAGGAAAGTCCACTTGAACGTGAAATCTTTCAACATTCATGTCTGAAGAAAACGTTGAACCCGAGTGAATCAACATTTTTAAAAAGCACTCCTGCTCGCTCACCTCTTTTGCTAATTGTCGCTTTCTCTTTCGACATGCATTACGGTATACTCTGATAAACAATTGCACACTTCTTTTGTTATTTTGCACCATTTCAGTAAAGTGATAAAACTCCTAGAGTTTACCCCAAAAGCGATTCACTCTCCCTCTTCCCTCGAAGCCCTCGGTCGTGCAGCCTCTCCCGTGCTGGCCAGCCATGACCGTGCGGAGCCCTCTTTGCCGCAGGATGTGCCGTAGAGAAACCAAAGAATCCAGTAGGGATTGCTTGTGAGCAAGCAGCTCGGCAAGACCCAATGGTGAGTCAAGAAAATCATAGAAATAGCCCTAACATTTTTCATTTCCCTAACAGACAGCCGTGTATTTCTAAGGACTCGTTGTAACATCGATGTGGCAAACGTTTGGAGAAACTGTGGAGACTTCTGAAATACAGCC